GAGCATCGACTTGAATAATGAGAAGTAGTACATCTACGTCACAACAAATCTGACTGGCTCATTTGCATTTCAAACCGCTATTGTATAAAATCGTAGATGTCGACCTTTAACCCGGACACAGACTTGTGACCTGTTTTGCATAAAACAGTGGGGGGAAACAATGAATTTTGATGCTATTGCAGCTTTCGTATTTTTCCTCCAAATTCTACACACAGCCCTACAGAGCTCCTAAGGGGACATGGAAGGGAACAAAAACAATTTTGTGTTCCCTCACAAAGTTTTGCATTCCCTCGCAAAGATTGCTAAATAACGCAACCCTTTTTTTTTCTTTTTTTTTTGCAAGGGTACGCTTTTTTTTTAAAAATGTGCGTTGATGTACTCCCGTGTCATCTTCTGGGTAAATGAAAACAACAAATATGGAAGGTGAGTTTAATGGAATTTTACTTTGAAATTTACTTAAATCTGTTCTTGATCTTAAATACAGTTTCCAAGTCTTCCTCCCCAATTCTCTCCTTCACCAAAGCAGTGTCGTCTCTCACACATTTTTAAAAAAGCATCGCCTTACAAAAAAAAAAAAAGTTTGCATTATCTCGCAATCTTTGTGAGAGAATGCAAAACTTTGCGAGGGAACTCAAATGTTTTTTTTTTCTTAAATGTCACCTTTGGGTCTCCGTACAACCCCCTATAATGACATAATGGAAAAAGTTTGCAGATACTTTTGTGTTAAAAAAACAAAAAACAAAAAAAAAACTGCAAAACTGCATATACACAAAAATTCTCAGCTTTTGGCATGAAGCTCAAAATTGACCACAGTGGCCTCTATTATATGTAAATGAGAGAGGTTCAGGGACTCGTCCTTCGAGCCGGCTGGCTGTCTAATCTGAGCAATTGGGAGCCTCGGTTAGTGGGGTGACCAAGTCCGACAGTCATTCTTTGTCTCTTTTCAGTCTCACCCAAAAACACCCATGTGCAGATAACACCGCCTGGTGACATTCGAGAAGGCTCCTATGTGAACCTCAGCTGTGTTAGCCGTGCCCATCCCCCTACCAGCAGGTGGTATTTCATTATCACTATCCACAAAATGCTCATTGTATTGCTGTCATCGTGTCTTGTCTTTTATGTCACTTTCATGTTGTAGTTGTCTCGTCTGTATTTTGTCTTCAATTAGAGCTGAGTAAAATGGACTGTATTTAGGTTGGGCATTTTTCAAATGGCAGAAGTTTAAAATCAAAAGTAACCCTGGCTTGGCTATTACATCATTACTCAGCCCTATGAAGCACTTTTATTGTGATCATCCCCATCTTTCTTTAGGCATGCTTGGTATCGCATCCTAGGAGACCAGGTGCTAGCAAAAGGAAGCGTCCAGAACTTGACGTTCCCTTCAGTGCGTGCTCACCATGCCGGTCAGTACTACTGCATGGCCTGGAACCGATTAGGACACCAAACCTCTCATAGCGCCGCTCTCACTGTGCTGTGTAAGTTGTGTTCATGTGTTTGATTGGAACCATCCTTGTTAACTGATGCAACATGATTCACAGACAAGGCAGGAATTATGTGTCTGTCACCTGTCAGTTTGTGTACCTCTCCTCAATCGCAGTCTCTCTAGCTCCATTTTTTGTCTGTTCAGTAGCCTTTCTCACTTCCCATCAAAACATTATTCACGTTTTTTTTTCCTCTTTTTTTTTTAAATCCACTTGATTTATTTGGAAAAATGGATGTTAATATACCATAATGACAAAAGTATTGGTATGTCTGGTGTACAGCTAGTGAAAATGGAACAACATATAGAGCTATTTTGTTTGGGAATTTTGCTTCAGTCATCCAGTAGAAGTTTTGTCTGGCTTCATTTTCTCTGCTGGCAGCACGGTGGAGTTTATGGACTTTGCATGGTTTGCATGTTGCATCCATGTGCTTGTGTGGGTTTTCTGCAGGTACTCCAGCTTCCTCTCATCTTCCTAAAATATTCCTGTTGAGATTAAATCAAGACTCTAAATCAGGGCTGTCCAAACTTTATCCTGCGAGGGTCACAAAGGACCAGTTTGAAATGTTTTGACTCAAGTTTTCAAACAGCTAACTAAACTAAAGCTAATCAAGCAATTAATTACACGTTGTTTATATCATAAATACATAAAGGCTGTTTGTTGAAGTTGACAAGGAGGATTAGTCTCTTAAGTTTTGGGGTAGCCCATGGCCCTGCTTGACACAAAAATAAAGCCGCACCTCCACTCAGCAGTAGCTGGACCCTATCGCCACATTCACAACAAAACCAAGAATGATCTGTCGTAAGCCGACTATATGTGAGGATCATTAGTGTGATCCTTTCACAAATTGTACCTCGACACACAACAAGTGGAAGAAACCATTTTTGTTTCTGAAACGGAATTATCATTATTCTCCACAGAAATTCAGTTCCTATTTTAGATTTAAAATGTATTTTTGTCTTTGCATGACTAGAAAGTCACGTTATGATCCCTCTAAAATCTAAATTGTCCATACGAGGGGCATCGTGGCAATCGGGGTTTCCTGAACGGCCGGCCAACTACTGGATCAATTTTGGGAAAGCAAACATTTTCCACTGCCCATCACGACTACCAGCAGCCGTCCGCTATCCCCATGCCCCCTGTTGCCGTCTATGTTTCGGCGCATGACAGAAGCATGGTTCCTTATAAACATACTTTGTACTCAATGAGATCCTGCATGGATTCCAGAGAGTCTCTCGGGGTGTTCACACGGCACACATTTGATCTCCATCTTCCTCTCATCTTCAAAAAAATATTCCTGTTGAGATTAAATCAAGACCCCAAGTCAGGGCTGTCCAAACTTTATCCTGCGAGGGTCACAAAGGACCAGTTTGAAATGTTTTGACTCAAGTTTTCAAACAGCTAACTAAACTAAAGCTAATCAAGCAATTAATTACACGTTGTTTATATCATAAATACATAAAGGCTGTTTGTTGAAGTTGACAAGGAGGATTAGTCTCTTAAGTTTTGGGGTAGCCCATGGCCCTGCTTGACACAAAAATAAAGCCGCACCTCCACTCAGCAGTAGCTGGACCCTATCGCCACATTCACAACAAAACCAAGAATGATCTGTCGTAAGCCGACTATATGTGAGGATCATTAGTGTGATCCTTTCACAAATTGTACCTCGACACACAACAAGTGGAAGAAACCATTTTTGTTTCTGAAACGGAATTATCATTATTCTCCACAGAAATTCTGTTCCTATTTTAGATTTAAAATGTATTTTTGTCTTTGCATGACTAGAAAGTCACGTTATGATCCCTCTAAAATCTAAATTGTCCATACAAGGGGCATCGTGGCAATCCGGAGTTTCCTGAACGGCCGGTCCAAATACTGGATCAATTTTGGGAAAGAATACGTTTTCCAGAATGGCCGATGTATTTATGGGCCGGTCCTGGCCATCACGGCTACCAACAGCCGTCCGCTATCCCATGCCCCCTGTTGCCGACTACGTTTCGGCGCATGACAGAAGCATGGTTCCTTATAAACAGACTTTGTACTCGTTGAGATCCCGCATGGACTCCAGAGAGTCTCTGTGTTGCTTCCGCCATGTAGCACACGCAACTTTCCTGCGCTGATTGGCCATGGTCACTCCCACAACTGTGGAAACATTCATTTCTAACTGCACCGATATACAGAGGTTAAAAAAGAAAACTGCATCCACGCGCACGGTTAGACTGCACTTCGCACTAGACTTATGCTAGGCATGAAAGCAGGGCCCTCAATGTTACATACAAAGCACGACAGCAACGCTAAGAGTAGTAGTTTGTCAGTTTTGGCCCATAACAACTACAAATAGCTTTATTCTGTCATCTCTACTTCCATTCAGACCCTCCGAAGAACACTTCAGTGCTGGCTCGTCCTTCCAGCGTGGTGGATGCTGGCCGGCCTTTGACTCTGACCTGCAGCAGTCAGGCCAACCCAGCCGTGGACAACTTCACTTGGCATCGTTTAACACACAACGGCGCATCAGTACAATGTTAGTAGCGTTCTAAAAAGTGTTTTCACTCAAGTAAAACTAAGGTACAAGCCCGCCGAACATGTGGAAGGGTGCTATCGGACCAAATGTTGCCGTGTGAACACCCCTTCTGTGTTGCTTCCGCCATGTAGCACACACAACTTTCCTGCGCTGATTGGCCATGCTCACTCCCACAACTGCGGAAACATCCATTTCTAACTGCACCGATCTACAGAGGTCAAAAGAAAATTGCATCCACGCACACGGTTAGACTGCACCTCGCACTAGACTTGCGCTAGGCATGAAAGCAGGGCCTTCAATGTTACATACAAAGCACGACAGCAACACTAAGAGAAGTAGTTTGTCAGTTTTGGCCCATAACAACTACAAATAGCTTTATTCTGTCATCTCCGGGTACTCCCACATTCCAAAAACATGCATGATAGGCTAATTGAACACTCTAAAGGTGTGATTGCGAGCGCGATGGTCCACGTGTGCCCTTTGATTGGCTGGCAACCAGTTCAGGGGGCCTACTGCCCGAAAACGGCTGGAATAGGCTCAAGTAAACGCAGATTACAAAATGGATGGATGGATGAAAAAAGTAAGGTAGTGTAGTAATTGTATCTGAATAATAATTACTATATATGCAGTTGTGAATGGCATACTGTACATGATATTGTATCACACTAAAATAGAAAGAGTATAAATAAAAGCAGTTGAGACTTAAATCAACGCCAGCATTACAAGCAAAGGGGCGACAAATACATGAATAAATAATATACAAATTCAACTATACACTGTATGCTTTTCTCCATAGGATAAGGTGAACAAAAGCAGAAAGAATACGTTTGCACAGAATGTGATGACTATACAGCCCTTTTCCTGAGAGTGTATCTTGTCATTTCGAATGCCCCACTTCTTTAATGAACCAAAGCGGTGCTAGCTAAAGGCTTTCAAACACTCACCATCAAATTTGAAAAAGCATATTGATCTGAAAGTTTATTCTGAAGGGCTCTCAAGGGTGTGAGCCTTAATTCGACCTCAGTCAAATGTTATAAGAATAGTTTAATACCTTGTAACGTCGTAGCCTTAGCTACAGTGGTGTAGTGGGGATTTTTTAAGTGGGTGTATGCGATTCTGGGATGTTCTATATATACATACAGAACATCAATCATAGGCTACAACACCAGTTGAACTAACGTTTAATTTAATGTTTTACTACTCCAAAATAATCACAGGCCAACGTTATTAAGCATAACTCGCATTAGAACAATGATCCACAAACATTTCAATAAAAATTGAATGTGGCGTCGGGAGAAGTGGGTGGACGGCGTATCCCCGCGTACCACGCCCACTACACCCCTGCTTAGCTAATAGCAAATGTACTACTTTGCTATGGCTGGCTACTGAGCAAATCACGCTATGGTTTGCTGGGTAGCAATCGGCAGTGATTCAATGTTGCAAGCTTGTTTGATGGGTTGTGTGTGTGAGACGGAGAAATGTGACTTGAGCCAAATCTGGTATCTCTTATTGCTGTTTGAACTTACATTGTTGCTATCAGCAATATTTGGAACTGAGTAACACTAATTACTTCTGGCCAGTTTTGTTATCTTATACTGTATCTATGACCGTGACACGTTACAAGTTTGGATGCACACTTACCTTCCAATAAAGATTTTGTGATGACATGTCTTTGAAGTTAAACTTTTTGCGCTGTTAAAATACTTGCGGTATCTTGCTGGACTCATCATATCTTCCGCTCCATGAAACACAAGTTAATGCTCAGTAGTTCACGTGCCACTTCACTGTATTTGCCTTGTCGGCCTGGTAATTGTGGTCATTTTTAATGGGCAAATAAGCAGCTGAAACAGGTGGCCTTCATCGTAACTTTTAATATAACATGATAAACATTATGGCCTGATGGGCTAGTGCACAATATGCCCAGGTAAAATTGTTGTTTGTTTTTTCCTTGAGCCAATGATTGAGTCCTGTGAGCAAAATGGAGCAGCAGATGGATGACAATTACGTGTGGCCGGCTCCGGCAATACAGGTTTTTTTTTTTTTTTTGCTGGGATTTTAGAATATATTTAACATGATGCTTATTCAGCTATATGTGTTCGTGTTGAAGCAACCCATGACAGCAGAAACATTTATGAAGAGGTTATGCGGAGTATAAAGACATGTTTTTGACAGCGGCGTGGAAAGTAAGGAGGCTCCATGCTGTTAACTTCAGCAAACTGTGAGACAAATTGTTGCAGCTGAATTTAGTGAAGGTGTGAGTCATCTTCACTTCCAGTCTGGAAGCCATTGCACTTCATCTCTGCATTGTGATACATTCCACCGACACTCTTAGACGCAAAATAAAATGACAAAGTGTCACCAAGAAGTTTACTGATCTTCACTGTAAGTCTAGAGCAGCAATTCAAATATGTAAGGATTCATTTCATTGCATTTGAGAGGATGAGTGCACGGAAACCTTCCAATTCCTCTCTGGACTCTGTTGCATCTGTTTCTGTGAGTCATGGTGAGTCATGTAAAGCCGTCGTACTTATTGAGGGAGGAGGAAGAGGAGATGAGGTGTTGTGGAAAATGACTATTTGAGGCTAGACAGCTGAAAAAGGGGAGCTGGCTTTGGAAATCACAACTGGAAACACGAGACTTCAGTCTAGACGTTGGCAAAATGCTGCACAGCTCTTTTTCCATATCTCTCAACTCTCTCTTTCTATTTTTATGTCTGCCGAACTATTTCTGTCACACTTATTTTATACCTTTTCTCTCCGTCTTCATCACCAGGACGACTAAAGGTGATTGCGTTGGCATCAGCGGTGGGCGTGTCTGCTGGGCTCATCACTCTGACAGTGGCCATTATGATTAGGTGACATTGCACACCTTGGACTAAAAGTACTTGTATTCAAAGATACTGTATTTCACGATAGTGTGTGACAATTTTTTCCCTGAACATTAGCAAAGCTACCTAAACTAAAACATACACTGAAAAAAGAATGGAGGGACAGTTACTTGAAAATGTATGTTCATTTACATTTCAATATTTGTTGTTAGTTGCAAATTTGGAGTTAAAAGACAGTGATGGAGAAGTTTTTGTTCCGATACTCAAGTAGATTTTTTTTTCTGGTGTCTGTACTCTACATGAGTATTTTTTGATGACTTTTTACTTTCGCTCCCGACTGAGGAAAACTGTTTTGTTTTTTTTTAATCTTCCTAATTTTTGTCAAACTAGTTTTGTTACTTCTTTCAACCTCAGTGGATGATGATACAATGTAAAAAAAAAGATGGAAAGAGAGAGAGAGAGAGAGAGAGAGAGAGAGAGAGAGAGAGCTACTCAATCCCAGTTGAGAGCCTGATTTGGGCCTAAACTACAGTACATTTCAGAGTCTGTTATTACTTAATTATTACTTAAGCTCAGTTTTGACCCAGTTCTGTACTGCTAGTTTTACCAGAGCCTTTTTTACACACGTATTTGTGCCTCTGCTAAAGTACAGAGTGAGCACGTTTGTCGTTTTCTCTTCACACATAGATGTATAATGAACTGCGGTGCCATTGGGCAAATGATAAGTAAAGATTCAAGCCTTCAATTCTAACATACTGTTGAGTCTCGAACGATACTGTGGAATTAGTTTCAAAACTTAAATTGTTTGCATTTTGGAAGAGGTTGACCTTCAATCTGTTATCTACTCAAATATTGGTATCATAGGTACTGTATCTGGATCTTCGTGGGGGATGCGATTTTGTCATCTTTTGTTTATTGTCCACAGTAAGAACATGCACACAGTTGACATGGAGTCAGTCGGAGCAGCAACCAAGGTCTGACCTTTTGGATACAATTTCAGATAAATCGTACACTCAAAAACCTTTTTACATCATAATTACATCAGTGGAGTTTTGAATAGTATACCTTGACATTCATCATCATTCTTATACCAGATTTGGTGTGTTTCAGCGGCCCTCAGTGACAACTGACACCATTTTCTATGAGGTGACCCAACCAACAGTGCCAGTGAGAGAAACCTTAATGGCTGACATACCAGTAGGCGGAACTAAATATCCTAAAATCTTGGTAGGATAGAAGGGGCATTAACACACACACACACACACACACACACACACACACACACACACACACACACACACACACACACACACACACTCTCTCTTTTGTGCAGGAGGAACCTGAAGACTTGAGCGACAGCTCCCATCCCGCAATTGTTCCTCTGAAGGATGCTCCTCCAACTACAGGAGCTGAAACACACAACCCTGCCTCCAAATACATTACAGTGCATTACTCCAGACTGTCGAGGTATTAGCTCAACGAGCTTTCTATGATATGCTCCTCACATCTTTTCGATTTTTTTTTTTTGCTGTCTTTCTTGCTCATTCATTAGTCAATTGAAGCACATGACTCCCACCCAAAGTGTTGACAGCAGAACTGTAGACACGTTTATATAACGACAGCATCCTCTCATTGTGCTGTGCTTTCTTTATTCTTCTGTTGTTGAAAGGCAAAAGTGCAGTCTGCGGTAATGATGATGCGATTCAGATGTGCTAGTGAGCTCATATGGTTGCTTTTTTTTTTTTTTTTGCTGCTGATGTTGATTCAGGGGCGAGCAGGTCCGGTTCCAAAACCTGCCACTTGGGGGCGACAGGAAACCAAAGGAATCCGCTTAAGTTGTTCACAGTCTGCGTCCTGCAGTTCTCACCACTGACAGGAGAAGTCAGTTGAGGTCTGACGTCCATTTTTGCGTCAACGTAAGTGCATAGAGGTTAAGGCAGTTTCGTTGACACTCACGGCCACAACATTGGGTTCACCTACACGTTATTTGTTCACAGATAAGTGTCAAAGATTGACAAAGACACATGCAGGCTAATGTCGGTCATTATCGTGGTAACATCATCGTTGTAAGGGCAGTCGTTTTCTTTGTCTTTTTACTTTATTGATTCTAGTTAACATGTCTGCTTTAGAGTTTGGAGGTTTGAGTTGGTTTCTCAGCTCAGGCCTTCCTGTGTCGGGTTTGCATGTTCTTCCCGTGCTTCCGTGGGCTTTTCTCCAGGCACTCCGACTTGCTCCCACATTCAAATCCCACAATATGCATGATCGGTTCACTCAAATTGTTCATAGGTGTGAATGTGAGTGTGAATGTTTGTTTGTTTTTTTATTTGATTAGATCTCAGGTCGTGGTAATCTACAATGGTTAAATTGAGGCAGCTGGACTCAGTTTGTTTGTTGAAGACCTTCGCCTTTAATCCAAAAGTCTTCTTAAATTTTAATTGTCTAAATGTGGAGTCCATTTTCAGTATGTCACTGGTGGGTGGGTGTCCCTGGGGTGCTCACAATAGCGTTGTTGTTATTGTTGCTGATGCTGCTGCCAGGCATGGCTGGTGAACCACCGGGTGACATGCAGGATCGTTCACCGGCCTGATGACAAAACGGCTGATTCGTACCCACTCTTCCCTACTGGCTACCCTCTTAGAATGACACAATGTAATAACATAGTTGTAAGCAGAAAGTGTTCTTAGGTTTGTTACCTATGCTGGTTCAACTCAAAGGACAAATTTCTGAGAAGCAAACTCTTGCACTGGAATTTAGTGAGGGGTGAAATGACCTCTACTTTGGAGGAAACAAGCAACCGCCTACACAAACACATGGCTCAACAGCAGATATTTCGGGTCCAGAGCCAGCAGGTCATTTGCATCTTATAAAGACAGGCGTTCCTTTGAGGACAATTATGTCCACATACCGGAAAGGGAAGCCCACTGGTTTCAAAGAGCTGTACAAGACGCGATCTATGACTATGTTTACATATCGTGAGTAACCCTTTCAAAAAGTATTGGCAATATTTGGGTTTTGAAAAAAAAATATGCTCATCTCCGGGTTTAAAAAAAAAAAAAACTCAAATTAGACCCTTATTTTTCCACACCCGGGGTACAAACCCGCGGGCGTCAATAGGCAGACTCCACACTTTAACCTTAGAGCCCCAGTCGCGGCGGTTTGTGTGTGACACCACCCCGTGACGGCTGACAGGGGGTGTTGTTAACATATCTTTACAATCATAACGATTATAATCCATTCAATTAATTGATTTGTAGAATGATTCTGAGGGATTGTCCCACGATGTCATATATATCAAAGAAATCCAATGACATACACCACACACATCCACAGAGCGCCCAATCTGTCTGGCTGCAGCTTCATCAAATACACCAAAAATTGCATGAAACCACCTGCACCTTTGAGTTAGACTTCCTTTTTGTGAGTCTAAAATGTTGTCTACTTTTTGTAACCAAATTTTCATAAATGCCGGCAAGCGCAGCAGGAATAGCCAGTGAGGTGTTGCGTCCAAAATGATCAAATTACTAAATTCACAAACACGATGAACTATACCATTGCCCCGGCATAAAAAAGTTGATGATGCACCCATTTCTACACTGAGCGCAGATTTCTTTCTGTTACCATATTGTCGGATGACTTGGGGGCGAGAGGCAATTTAGTGCGCCAGAATACCCACATAGCCCCAAACATGGTAAACTAGACTTGCGCTGGCACAATTTTTTTTTTTTTTCCATTGAGTGCACGGGCGCCAGGCTACCAAAACAGGGCCCCAATGTGTGAGTTCTGAACATGATCACACATGCTGATTCATCAGATGTTTATTTGTCACTGTCGCTTTAAACCAAACACTTATTTGTGGTTCTGCTGTTAACAAACTGAGTTCATGTTCTTATCGATGCAACATAAAACATCCATCCATTTTCTCAATCGCTTGATCCTCACAAGGGTCGCGGGGGGTGCTGGAGCCTATCCCAGCCGTCTTCGGGCAGTAGGAAGCTGACAGCCCTGAACTGGTTGCCAGCCAATCGCAGGGCACCCATAGACGAACAATCATTCACGCTCACACTCACCCCTAGTGACAATTTTGAGCATTCAATCCACCTGCCATGCATGTTTTTTGGAATGTGAGAGGAAACCGGAGTACTCAGAGAAAACCCAGGCAGGCCGATGGGAGAACATGCAAACTCCCCACAGGAAGGTCAGAGCCGAAATCGAACCCGGTACCTCTGCACTGTGACTTCGATGCACTAAGCACTCGGGTGCCGCAACACAAAACAAGTCATCCTAAATTATCTATGGTCGGAAAACAACAACTTTGCACGATGCAAATTGAGCCTGCTGCTGCATTTTAGAGTGGAACACTTCAATATGCATATAACGACTGAGTGCTTTATTATGAACGAGGCTGCATTTACTCATAAAGTCAACTTAATCGAAGCTATTACATTTGTTCTTTGTTTTACTACCACTGTACCGATGAGCTTACACACACTATGCATGTACATACAATAGAAAACTCTCTCTCTCTCTCACACACACACACACACACACACACACACACACACACACACACACACACACACACGGATATACAACATATTTATGAC